GGTTAAGATCAATTCAAAATTTTAATAAACTAAATTTAAACAAACTTTAAAATTCGTTAAAATTTTATAATCAAATTGAAACCGTTAACTATTCATCCCGTTTATTTTTCCTAAATAAAAAAGTTAGAAATCTCAAATAATTTATCAAACACTCACATAAGTGTGGGTTCCACACTTATGCAAGTGTTTTTGGTAGATTATTTTATATCTCTAAGACCATCTCCAATCGTGTATCAAACTTACATCAAATTTAAATTTGATGAAAATTGTTCCTTTTTCAGCTCCAATGGTTTCATCAAATCAATATCAAACCAAGGATTTCACTTTTCTTTCATCAAACTGAGGACAAATGTGTCTTTCATCAAATCACTGTTCATTACCATTAGATTTTCACCATCGGATGTCCTCCTATATGACCACTTCAAGGCAAAAGTTTGTGAACAAATTACACTGGCCGATCAACTGCCTAGTCATCCGTTTGGTCGACCCCCGGATGACCACCTCAAAAAGAAAACTTGTGAAAAATTTGCACTGGCTCATCGATCGGTCGAACATCGTTTGGTCGTCCGCCTTGTCAACCGATGGTTTGACGAAGTGGCAAAACCCCCCAATTAGAGCACTTGATATCAAAGAGAGTTTTTTCTCAAATTTTTACTCATATTTAGTGAAATTGAAGATGCCCTAACATTACTCTTCCCTCAACACAAGTTTTCACACCCCAAACCCGAGTATGACCGACCATGGCCCACAAGAACTTAGCCCAATGCACATGTAAGCCTAACACATGAACCTAAAATCACAAAGAATAAATGTGATGATAGCTCAGAAACAAATAAATCAAAACCCAAACCAGTGACAAGTATAAACGACAAACCAACCGTAATCAATACCATCCAAACTTTTGGGATATAAATAGTCCACATATCAAAATAATCCTAAATGAAGCTCAATAAAAATAAAAAGAAATATGCACAAACTTGACATAACAATCTAAAACAATATAAATGAATGTCCTAGAGATCCATGTAATTGAGTCCCCACTACGCCATGAGTCCACTTTAAGTCCTTCTAACACCTGGAAATGATAAACAACTAAGTCAGTTGATAGTTTCCAAAATAAGACATATATCACAGAAACTAGATTAGTATACAGTTTTGATAAAGATAATCTTTTTAAAAAAGAATGTTCCACAATTCAACAGTTAAAATACTCATGTCTCTCAAGAACCTGATAAATGATATTTTCCACTTAAAACAGATTACAATATGAACATCAATAATTTTCTAGGTACCAAGTATAACAAGTAACATGCCACACAGTTTTCAAGGCAATAAGCCCGTTGGATCCAATATTAAACCAAGAGTTGGGGTGGCAACCCAGGCCTTTTCTCTTAGACGATCTAATTGAAGGTCACCTAGCCTAACCCAGGTCTTTTCCTTACAATCGTTGAGCATTAGAGTCATCACAGCCCAACTCGGATATTTTCCCTAGTGGCCAGAGTCACCACACACAATGGAATAATTTTCCTGGACTAAATATACAGATGGTCCCGATAATCAATACAATTCAGTTTCGCAAAACATGGTAGTTCACCATTATAAACATGAGACCATAAAGTATGCCAAGTTTACACATGTTTCAGAAAATAATTTAATTCCATTGATACTATAATAATTTATCAAAACAGTTTAGTCCTGAAACAACAATTCAATTTTTCAACAATTTAGGGTAGGGAAACATTTATAAAAATATGTAGCATGTAACTACTCACTTGAAAACATAACAATGTAATCCTCAAATATAGTATAAAAGTCCAACTAGTGCCCTGAACCAAGTATGAAAACTACACGTCATTATTAATTTAAAAATATTAAAGAATAAGAACTAAGTAACCTCAAACTAAAGCGCACTAACACGGCTCAACTCAACTTACCGTTACTCTTAAATAATACCTAGGTTCATGTTCTTCAAGGTCTCAAATTACTTAAGACATGGATTCAGATCGAAACTTAATTAAAAGTAATTTTAAGATAAAACAGAATTTTAAACAAGTTTTCCCAATCTATTTGCTAACTTTAAAAATTACAAAACCCACTCCACGCTGTTCGAAAAAAGTTCCAAAACCCTCTAGACATCAACTAATATATCCTAAGTTTCAAACTCAAATGGTTTCACTTGATTTGCTTCTCAAAATAATTATTTACAATTAATTATATCTAAATAGGTTATTTTCTACAGTACTTTAAAGAAATTAATGGTTCTCTTAGTATACACGAACAATCAACGTAAGGCCAAAATTTTAAGAAATTAGACTCGTAACCGGTTCTAATAACGCTGATTTGATAATTTTTAGATTTATACCCAAAGAGAACCACACTTCCAAAGTTACTATTTTACACTAGTTTTCTGGGCATATTTGAACGCAGCAATTAATATAAATTTTGACTCCCAAAAATTATGAGAAAATTCAGATATGCAATTCAATATGTAATTAATTTACTGTAAAAATTTAAGTTCAAAATTCATTTGTTTGATATGATTTCTTGATTTTTAAAGTTTGTGGTTCTGCACAGAATTTTTAAACAAAAAATTTCTCTGCACAATTTATTTCCTCAAGTTTCTTATCAGTGTATATATACAAAATACATAAACCTACAACTTCTCCATCAATGAACTAAATAATGATAGAATAAGAATAAAGAACAAAAATAAAAAAAAGAAGAAGAAAGTTAGAAACCTACCACACATCCAAAAGTCCACCCTTGTTTGCAACCTTTTTTTTTTCTTCTTCTTTTCTCTCAAACTCTCTCTTTCCCATGGCAGCTGCTGCTGCTACCCTATATTATATTAGGCAACATAGGGTTATATTATATATCAAAACAAAAGGTCCTAAAATATTATCTTTTGTTTTAATTCATTTACTATCTCCATTAATTTAAATAAAATACAACTATTAATAGATCAAAATATACTAACTAATTGGTCTCTTATTTTTTTTTAAATAATAAATCTTGCCTTTAAATTAAAGACTTTTACCATAAATTTATTTTAGGTTTTAAAATTAATTAAAGGACCCTCCAACAATATTTAATTTGAACTTTAAGATTCACAAACAAAATATTTGAGGTTTGTAAAATAATAATTATTTAATTATTTTTTTGATTTATATATTCGGGTTCTCATACAGGTTGATTTGAATTGATATTGATTGGTGCAATTTGGTATTTTGACAATTTTATTTTAGAGTAATATTAGATATATCAAGGGCTTGTTTGTTTTAGTTTTAAATTAATTTTTGAGTGCTCAAAATCTAAAATTTGATTGGTTTACAATTTTGTTAATACTATTTTCAATCATTTTTTATATCTCCTCTATCTTTCTCTCAAGTATTACAAATTAATCAATCATTTTTTCTCATCTCCCATCTCTCCTCTTTTATTCTTTCACATCTTACATACCAACCAATCACTTTTTCTCTTTCACACTAATCTATTCAACTACCAAAAAAATACAAATCAACTCAAAGTATAAAACTCCAACTACAAAATTATTTATTAAAAATACAATCAAACAAATTTAAATTTTGAAAATTCATTTAAAAACTAATCTTTCAAAATTGATTTCAAAACTAAACCAAACAAAACCTAAATATTTCACCAAAATATGAAAAAATTATTTGTTGGTCCAGGGATGCTACGTGGTCATGCCCCTCACCAATTATGAATCACCATATCCTTTCATGTTCTCCAATCACTTAACATAAAATCACAGGCTTTACCCCTTCTATCAATCACAACATATCTAGGACTATATCCTAAGATTACCAAATAACTTCTTCCAAAATTTCTACTAACTAAGCATTCACATGACCGTGAGACTCATTAACATGAAACCCATACCATATGAGTTGTTTGATAAAAGTTTGAGAAAATTGCAAATAAATAAATAGGTTTCTCACAAAATATTTACAAATTCATGAAAAAAGAATTTATAACTTTAATTATTAAAGTTCATAAGTTTACCATTAATTTAATTTTTTTTATGACTTATCGACCCAAAAATTATTTTTTTTTTTTGAAAACTTTCAATATATTGCAATTTTCCCTAAAAGTTTTTGTGTGAGACCCACACCCCTATAAGTGTTTGATAAAATTTTTAATAAAACAAGTTTCTTGTACTTTTATTTTTTTTATATTCCAAAATTATTTTCTTTGTCCCTTCCAAAATATTAGTATCATTTTGGAAAATTTAGCTTCTTTTTTTTTTTGTGATAATATAATCATTACACTTTAAAAATATTAATTTTGCAAAATTGTCCTTTAACTTTTTTGGAAACACCAACTATCGTAATAAATGAATTTAAAAGAAAAATAAAAAATTCATGTTATCTTAGTTCTTAATTTTTTAATCTGAACAGAAATTTTAGAACAGTAAAAATGAAATAAAGAAATAATATTTTAGGACCTGTTTGATTTTTATTTTAAGAATTCACTTTTTAAAAAATTTACTTTTTTGTTTAAGTATTTTTTTTGTTTTCATTGATTTTTAAAAACATTTTAAGCATTTTTAAAATTTTTAGACACATTTAATATAAATACATTTAAAAAGTATAATATTTGTTAATTTTTTTTGTAAAAAAAATTACTAAATACTAAAAATATAAAAAAATATATGAAAATTTAATATATTTTTCGTATTTTTATATATTTATTAATTTTTAAAAATATTTTATTATTTAAATAAATTTAAGTAAGGTACGTCTATAATAATAAAAAAATTACTTAAAATTTTAAAAATATTCATCAAAAACAAAAAAAATATAAAAAAATAAAAAATTTAAATTTAAAAAATTTAAATTCAAAAAATTCAAACCAAACCTAATATAATCTTTTTTAATTGAAGAATGAAATAGAAAAAGTGCGCCCTTAAACCGTCCAATTTATGTCCCAATCCCTCCAAGTTTTGAACCAAAGTTCCCCAACCCCACTTCTCTCTCTCTCTCTCTCTCTCTCTCTCTGCAGTTTTCGATTCTCTCTCTACCGAGGAGCTGATGGGGAGACCGCCGAGCAACGGAGGCCCAGTCTTCCGCTTCAACCATACTGAGGTTTCACTTCTCTTTCCTCTCTTCTCTCTGCTCTCTTCTCTCTCTTTCTCTATGGTTATATATATACACAAATGTAAGGGCATGCATGTCTCGAATCTATATCAATTTTGAATTTGAATAAAAGTACTCAAAAAAAAAAAAAAATCTCCATTCCTTGACTCGAATTTATATCAAATTGAGTTTTACCCTAATCAAACTCAAATGTTTACTCAAATTTTCCAAAATCATTTTGTAAGCTTTCAAATTTACGTCTCTGCCATTACTGAAACTTTACTCAAATTTGTGTTTGTCACGGAGTGCTTCATATCAAATAAATTTTTTACTCAATTAGTAAGAATTTGAGTAAGGGTTCGATATGGCGTAACGTATATCGAAATGGGTCGTCTTTTTTAAAAATAAAAAAAATAAAAATTTCTAATTAGTATAATCGGCAGCTTGATTCTTGAATTTCTTGATGCTATTCATTAGAAAGATTAATGTTTTACTCAATTAGTAAGACTTTGAGTGAGGGTTCGCGATGGCGTAACGAATATCGAAATGGGTCGCCTTTTTTTATATTATAAAATTCTAATTAGTATAATCAGCAGCTTGATTCTTGAATTCGTTGATACTATTCATTGGAAAGATTAATTTTTTACTCAATTAGTAAAAGTTTGAGTGAGGGTTGGGGATGGCGTAACGGTTATCGAAATCGGTCATTTTTTATTTTTATTTTTATTTTTATTTTTAGATCCTAATTAGTATAATTGGCAGCTTAATTACCTAGGTCTTGAATTTTTTGATGCTATTTATTAGAAAGATTAATTTTTTTAAAGCAATTGGAATTTAAGTATGAATTTTTCACACCAATGTCTTCTGTTCTTGCCATGCAATGTGATTGATGTAAAGGGGGATTGCAATGTCATGGACTATTAGTCCGGAAGTAAATAGTCCGAGGACTGTTTAACTGGATGGATGGGATTAAATGTTTGGAAATGATTATTCCAATAATCTTAGATTTGGATGGGAAATTATGAAGAAGGATAATTGCTTCAAAGACCCTTTTGTCCTTTTAAATTTGCAATGACAATTCTAAATTTGAAATTTTAATTTAGATGCATTTAAAAAATAATATATTTGTGAAAACAATATCAAAATAGTTCACTAAAAATAAATAATAATGTATTGAAGAAACAACCAAAAAAACCCTATAGTTTGACCTTTGTAATAAAATGAAGTTTGAGTTTTTAATTTTGTCAATTTAAACCCTAATCTTTTGATTCATTTTTAATCCAAACCATTCATTTATGTTCGTTAAGTAAAATTGATGGAAAAATGGTATTTTAGCCATTAAACTCCATGTAGATATACATAAAATGTCTAAATGCCCTTTTTCGTTGAGTTTAATGACTAAAATATCAAATTTTTTTATTGATTTTACTTAATAAAAATAGGCAGATGATTTAAATTGAAACCAAATTAAAAGATTAGAGTACGAATTGTCAACATTAAAAATTCAGGGTTTATTTTGTTATAAGGATCAAACTCTGAGTTTTTTTTTTCCCCTAATTTATTTCTATTTAAAAAAAAAATAGTGATTTTTGTTTTTTGAATTTCTTCACAAATGTAAGTGCATTCAAGATATAAAAAATTTGATTAAAATATGAAAAGGTTCGCTAAAGACAAAATAATACAAAAAATCAAAAACTAAAAACCAAATTTCAAAAAATAAACAAGACAAAAAATAATTCTTATTTTTTTATTTATTTTTTATATGCGCTTATATTTGTGAAAGAAATTTGAAAGAAGTTGACCAAAGATTAAAAAAAAAATGAAATATATTATAATTTGTTTTATATATCTTTGTGTGAAACAAATTGGAGGAAAGATATGTTGTATACTTGGTGTCATTTTTTGTGATTTAAGAACCTCATATGGAGTGCATATATATGGATGAGGACTGGAGATGTATCTCTTATTTGTATTGTTTAGGTATTCGCTGACAATAAGACAAAGGGGCCATTTGGTTGACAGAATAGCTTTATTTCATAAATTGTTCTATTTCAAATTAACAGATTTGAAATCTCTGACTTTGTAAATGTGTTAACTCAATTTGTATAGGTGTTGAACATAGCAAATTTTAAATCTTCCGTTTTGAGATTAGGTAATTTTATGTTTAAGAAGAATTGACCAAGTTCAAATTTTAATCAAGTAAATTGTTTGGATTTTTGAGTTTTTTTAATTCTTAATTTTTAAATCCAAACAATGGTAATTGTCTAATTTGTAAATGAGCTAATTCTGAAACTGTCCAAATAATTCACATAGTTGGGTGGGACAACTAAAGGCCCTAATTGCTTTGCCTTTGCATCTTTTCTCTTGGCGTTATGGTCATGTTTGATTCACAAGACTAATAGTGAAATATTAATAATCCTATTAAATTAGTGTGGTATTCATTATTCAATTGGATTAATATCCATTGGATTAATAATCACCCCTACCCTATTACTAATAATCTTACAAATTTGTTGAATTAATTATTCATTGGATTAATTATTCATTGGATTAATAATCCTAAACTAAAATATTAAAACAAGCATAGGATAATTGGGCCCACGGATTAATAATCCCAATCCCATGCTCTAATCCACCCAATCAAACATGCCATATGGGTATTGTCTGGATTATGAACTGATAAGAATTATTTTTTTTGGTTCTGGTGGTTAATTAGGAATCTACTGTGCCTTTAGGTTTCATTATTTGCTAGTGCAAGGGGTTTTGCACATGTATGTAGTAAAACAATTTTCAACACAAGCTCAAATGTTCGATGGAAACATCTCTTTTTGCCCTGTATTGGCTTTAACCTTGTGGGAGCAATCGTTCATACATAATTTGGAATGCATTCCAATAAAACCTTTCATTTGGACAATGGGTATTTGTTTAGTGCATGTGTTAATGCTTTGGTGATCTCTAGCACGAGGCAGTAGAGAATACTATTATTTATGGCATTAACTATGATGGTATCTTTTCGGAGGTTGTAAATGCATTTGAACAATGTCAATGATTTAGGTCATCATTGTTTCATTTTTAAGGTTGCTGAGATGGAAACTATACTGCAAGAACACAATACTCAGATGCCTACACGTGAAGTTCTTGTAGCTCTTGCCGATAGGTTCAGGTGTGTAGTTAATGTGCATTAATTCAAGAATTCAAATGATTGGAAACTTCTTGCTTGCCTTACAATGTCAGAAGTCAGGTCATCTTGTGGTTGTCTTTGGTTGTAGTGCTTCAGTGGAACGGTCAGGAAAGATTGTAGTTCAAATGAAACAAGTAAGACACTTTCCCTTGACTGCATGTTGATGATTCCCCAAGAATCGTTTGCTAATTTAGATACTTTGTACAGGTGTGGAATTGGTTCACAAATAGGCGGCATGCTCTCAGGTCAAAGGCCAAGTATCCTAGGACATTAAATGTATCACCTATTGCTTGGGATGATTCAAGTGCAGTGATAAATGTCCCTCAAACCCCTCAATCTGTAACTGCTCCAGGTAGGACTGGAAACATTCCAGCTTCTTGTTTTTTGGCACACTTACCTGGTGCTCAGCTGTATTTCCTGTAGTAATTTTGTTTTCTAATTTATATTTTGATTGATGTTGCTGCGTAGCGAACCGGACAATGTATTTATCAAATATGCCTTGGGATGATTCTGCTGCAGTGAGAAATGTCCCTCAAGCCCCTCAATCTGTAAATCCTCCAGGTAGGATTGACAGCATTCCAGCTTCTTGTTTTTTGGCACACTTATCTGGTGCTTGCCTGTATTTCCTGTAGTAATTTTGTTATCTAATTTATATTTTGGATTGATGTTGCTTCGTAGTGAACTCTACAATCTATGTATCACGTATGCCTTGGGATGATTCTACTGCAGTGAGAAATGTCCCTCAACCGCATCAATCTGTGACTGCTCCAGGTAGGATTGACAACATTCTGGCTTCCTATATTTTGGCACACTTATCTGGTGCTCACCTGTATTTTCCTATAGTAATTTTGTTTCTAATATATATTTTGGATTGACGTTGCTGCATAGTGAATCCTTCATTGGGGACTCAATAAGCTCTGCCATTACCTAGTTAAATGCCTAGACCTAGAATATCATGCTTCTGATGGATGTTTCTGTCAACATGACTACTGATACTAAATGGTTGATTGCATTAAAATAGAATATTTCAACACTAAATTTTATGTTGTAGATAAGTTGCATATAATTATTTATGAGTCTAGCATTTTCCATTTGTTCAATGCATTTCATATATATATATATATATATTTCTGTTCTATTTTGAACTATAAAATGCTATGGACAAAATACATTTTTGTGTACTGTTATGGAGGTTATCCTAGCTGGTTTGTTTCATCAACTCTTCGTAATTTTGGAAAGGAATATTTTCTTATTTTTGGTAGTTTGATGTTATTCTTACATTACATTAATTTTACATTACATTATTGTTATTAACCATGTAGTACCAGTAGCCATTAGACTTTAGACATTATAGTTTTAATGTAACATTAATTTTTAAATGACTTACATTACATTATTGTTATTTTTAATTTATATAAATGACAAATAATACTTGTTATCCCTATATATGACATAAAATAAATATATATAATTTTACATTACACTATCGTTATTAACCATGTAGTACCAGTAGCCATTAGACTTTAGACATTATAGTTTTAATGTAACATTAATTTTTAAATGACTTACATTACATTATTGTTATTTTTAATTTATATAAATGACAAATAATACTTGTTATCCTTATATATGACATAAAATAAATATATATAACTATATATGTTGTGTGTCTCCCACTTGTAGGGTCTTACATTTTTGAAAATTTATGTGGTGGCAAGTCCATGTTCATCCCTTTTAGAATGCAACTGTACAAGCTTTCCAATTCTGCAAATTTCAATTGAAATTATGAGATGACAACATTCGTATTCTTTGGTCAAAAGCACATATTTGTTAAATAGGTTTGGTTAATTTTGAAATTGGATGCACAGGCCATTGAAGAACTTACTCTTTCCTTTCTGCCTAATCTAACTCGTTGTATGGCCATAGTTGCTGATTAGCTATATACTATAGTAGTTAAGGAATCTTGTATTGTCACGCCCAAGGTTCTGAAAAGCGGTTGCAGTCGCCGTAACGGTGGCGGTGGCGCGGTTGCGGTTGCGGGGTGTAAAGGCCGTAGTGTAACGGTTGCGGTAACCGGAACCGTGAATTTTTTTATTTTTCGCACAATTTGAAAAAAACTTATTGATACGCATATTTTTTTCCATGATCATATTTATTGGGTTAAAAATAAATATTGATCAATTTTTGTAAATTTTTAAGTATGATCCAATATATTTGATTTTTTTAAATCACTATAAACTGAGTTTTTTACATTTTATTTTAATAATTAATGACTTTATATTATACAAAAAATCAATCACTAACTATTATATATAAGATAAATAATGACAAAAGTAAGGGAATAAATAAGTGCCTAAATATATATATATACATATTTTCACCGAGCCAAATAAATAATGACCACAATTATTATTATTATTATTTTCAAACAATATATAGATAGACACATACAAACAAAATGGTTGAGTGATAGCAGCTGAATAGAATAACATAGGTCTTACAGCTTCAACAAATCAATAACATGTTCTTCATCTTCCCTCTTCTCTCTCTCTCTATCTCTTGCTCCTCCATTTTCTCTCTTTATCTTCCCTCTTCTCTCTATCTCTCTTCCCCCATTTTCAGCTTTTTTAGTGTGTTTTTTTGAAAGAAACAGTTTAGAACCGTTACGTAACGGTACGGAACAAGCCGTTATGGCTGTTACGGCGCCGTTATGACCTCTATGGCAGCTGCTACGGCCGACACACCTGTGAATCTCAATCACACTGCAAAAGCGGCCGTAACGGGTGGCGGTAACCGCCAAAACCGTTACGTAACGGCGTTGCGTAACGGTTGCGGCCGCTTTTTAAAACCTTGGTAGATACATAATAAAAATAAATATAAATTTTAATAAGAAAAATATGATATTATATTTTCTTTAATCATACAATTAATAAATTATTAATAAATGTAAATTAATCTGGCACATTCATATTCATTGATAGTGAATCTATTATGAGTTTCTTTAATGTTTAATGGTAATAGATGTATCAGATCAAATGTTAAATGAAATATATATATATATATATATATATAAACATGATAAATTTAACAGTATTAGTGGAGTACTTTTTCCCCTGCCAATTGAGTTATGAAATTTTTTCCCATCCTAGAAAGAAACAACCACGTGGCCTTGTTTAATTAAAAGAAATTAGGTGAGTATAATAATCACTTGATTAGTGTACTCTTTGGCCTTGTTTAATTAATAAAATTAATAGTAAAAAGATTAATAATTTCATAAATTAGTATATAATTAGTTATTTAATTAAATTAGTGAGATCTGCCTAATCTAACTCGTTGTATGGCCATAGTTGCTGATTAGCTATATAGTATAGTAGTTAAGGAATCTTGTATTGTCACGCCCCATTCTGGGTGGTTTAATTGTCGTAGGTTGAATTGAGCATGGGACTGTCTAATGGAACTGCCAAACTAAGTTTGCTTGAATAAAATGCTCTATGTGACTGCTCCTATTTAATGCAATCTGCTCTGATTCATTGATTGGTTGAGTTTTGGAAATAATAAAATTTATTTAGTTAAGAAATTAAGCTTGAAATATGTGGTTGTTGCTTAGGTTGGGTTGATGGAGTACAAGTGTATGTAAGAGAATTGCCAACAATAGTTTGCTTGAATGAAATGCTGCAGTCCTTATTTTATTAGATATTCACTGATTCCAGTGATTGGTTAATTTTTAGGAAATGATCAGAGTTGAATTTGAGAAATAAAACTTACAAGTAGGTTAATCCTTCATAGCCAGCCTTTCTGGTTCTAGTATTTTCTGTGCCACAGCAATTAGGTATAGAGAATTACTCTTAACAATTAAAAGTTCCTGTCACTTGCTCCTTGGCGTGAAAGTCTTCTGACATATGTTACTGGGAATGTAGATCATTTTGGTACTTGGGGAACTGAATCAGGAATGTTGCATGCCACATTCTTTAAAATGTTGTACAACAAGGGTAGACTAGTTTAGATTATACTATTAGAATACGAGGTACTTCTAAAGCAATTTTCTTTTAACAATTAAATATCCAATAAAATATTGCTTTCTCTTTTTCAATTAATCATGTTACAACACATTTCCCATGAGCATTATGACCCATTTTTTATGTTTTGTCATGCTAGAACTCCACTCTCCTTAGATGTTAGTTTATTTTAATTGATTTGTTTTGAATGACAAATCAATTATTTTCCTCCTAAGGTTTATATTGGAAAATATTTTTGGGATTACTTTGGATAGCTGGGGTGTTCCAAAATGTAAATTGCTGGGGTAATAGTGTTGTCTGGTAACAGTGCTTCTGACTCTTCCCAATGTATAATCCACTCACTTTTTGGTGTGAGGCAATCTGCCAGCCTCTTTGCTCTTTACGAGTCTTAATTTTTCTTCCAGAAGAGGTCTTCTATCTTCTTCTTCTTCTTCTTCTTCTTCTTTTTTTTTTTTTTTCCCACTTCATAATTCATGTTTGACAGTTCGCTTCTACCTGTCATCTAATCTCTTCCAAAAGAGTTCTTACTTCTTTTTTTTTACCTTTGTAATTTCATGTTTGACTGTTCACTTCTTGTCATCTTACTTCATTTTATCTTGCCCTCAGTATCATTTTCAGCAGTTCAAAGCGCAGGAAGAGCTGTTTCAGATAAAAATCATGCGGAGTTCAAAGCTAAATCTGCAATGGATGGTGTTGTTTTGCCCTCATTATCATTTTCAGCAGTTCAAAGTGCAGAAAGAATTGTTTCAGATAAATATCATATGGAGTTCGAAGCTAAATCTGCAAGGGATGGTGCATGGTTAGTATTTCTGGCTTTTCAGGTTTAGAACTTCTGGATGTTAATTATTTGATGTTTGCCCTCATCCTTTCTGATAATTACTAACCTGTTTTGAATGACAATAATTCATTCCTTTTATGCTCCCTGCCTCAGGTATGATGTTGCAATGTTTATGTCTCATCGATCTCTTGAGAAGGGTGATGCGGTAATTTTTTAAGTTGATTTCTCCTTCATATGTTAATGAGTTAGTTATCAGAAGGAAGAGATACTGTATACCACTAATTCTTCTGAATTTCATAATTACCATTATTGGGATCCTCTATCTTCATATAATTTGATACTTTTTTTGCTCATTTAACTTTATTCTTAAACCAAACCAAACCAAACCAAGCCTTAAGTCCCATCATAAAAGCAGAACCACATCAAATAAACAATTCGAGCCTATTTCACCCAATGGCATATTTCTTGTTAGACCCTTCATGAACTATTATTCATCTTATGTTTCCACATGATGTATGCCTATATTAATTGTATGGAGCATCCGAGCATCTTTAGGTAGGAACTTAGGAATCGAGTTTGTTACTGAATTTCTAGGCGAATCCATCAAATGGTGCACTGTTGATGGATAATATCTGCAACCTACCCTTGGACTACAACAATCTTTTCCCTTTAACATTTGTTAGAACTTAGAAGTTAAAAATGCCAGTTCACAACTTGTTTCTTGACCTTCTGCCAACCTTTTTGACTTGAGCTATGATTTAAATTCTGCTGGCCAATTCAGGAGGTTCTGGTTCATTTTGCTGGTCTTGGACCGGAGGAAGATGAATGGGTTAATATTCGTAGGAATGTTAGACCACGGTCTCTTCCATGCGAACCATCAGAATGTGCTGCAATTCTTCCTGGAGATCTTGTACTCTGTTTTCAGGTGTGAATGTCTTTATAATGATGCTGCAGAATAATTTATATATCTCAATTTTAAAAGAAAAGAAATTAAATTTATCAAATCTTCAGAATCCCCATTTGATTTGATATTTTATTTATTTTTTAATGTTTAAATTTCAGGACGGCAAAGAGGAAGCTCTTTACTTCGATGCACATGTTCTTGATGTACGGAAACGAAGGCATGATTTAAGAGGTTGCCGCTGTAGGTTCCGGGTGCATTATGATCATGATGAGTCTGAGGTATACCATATACGACTGAATATTTTTTTTACTGCAAACGTTCTATGAGTTCATTTTTCTTTCTTTCTTTCTTTCTTTGCTTTTAATTTTTTTTTCCTTTTTTGGGGGGGTGGGGGTGTCTTGTGGTTGTGGTTCATGGCTCAATTAAACCTAGTGTTTAAAATGCCCAGTTTAATCTTGGGCCATTTTATTTAGGTTATTAGATGGTGACATCTCTTGCTCTTTGTTTTTGTTGTTGTTTGTCAGAGTTGGAGCAGCTGTTTAGGATAACAAGTTTATTTTCTTTCTTACAAGCTTGTTAGGTAGATTGAGCACATTATACTTTATCTGTTACACTGGAGATTATTTCCCGAAGAAAAGCCTCAGTGAAATAGTTTGAACAGTAAAAACTACAGTTAGTAGTGCTTATCTTTCCAAGGGAAATGCCATTGAAACAACTTTTAGTTGATATTGTCTCTTGAAAAGTTTGTGAAGAAATATTCTCCTATATGGGCATGGAGCATGACTAGTGTTGGTATTTTCATAGACATAAAATCAGCACCTTCAGTTAGTTGGACTGACAGAAATTCTTTCAAGGAATAACTCGCTTAAACCAAAATCAGTAGAAGTTGTAGCGGTCAATTGAGTTGCATAGTTGTTCATTTTCAAAATGTAGGGATGTGTTATTGTTCTTGGTTATAACTTGAAATGGTTTTCAGCATCATTATTTCTTGCTTGCAACTGCACTTTCTCACTCATCATGAGTTTTATGCGAAGAATTCCTGCTTTTGAAACCTTTGTTCAGAAAAATAAAAGAATACTTCTTTTCATTGTGTTTTACTTCAACATTATACAGTTTTCTCTGGCACATACAGTCGATATTCTTTTAACTTAGCATCTAATGCAAAATACATGCATTAATACACATTCTACTGCACCATTTAGACCTATATTTGTTGGGTTGCGTAGCTTTTCATGCCTCAATATAGGGATGCATTATTGTTGTTGGTCCTAACTTGAAATGGGTTTTCTACCCCATTGTTTTTTGCTTGCAGTGGCACTTTCTCATTAATTCACACAAGTTTTTGTGGGAAAGAATTCCTGATTTTGATATCTTTCTTTGTGTTATACTTTATTATCATACAGTTTTCTCGGGCACATACGATCGACATTCTTTCCATGTTGCATTTAGTGCAAAATACATGCATTAATGCACATTCTACTATGCCATTTAGACCTATTTTATTCACTGCCATTTAGTCTATTTTATACATTTCATGCTGGCTAATGTTTTCATCCGGTGGCTAATTCTTTCTTCAGGAAATTGTGCCCCTAAGAAAAATTTGCCGTCGGCCAGAAACCGATTACAGGTTCCGGCAACTTCGTGGCATAAACAAATCCAGTTATGTGAACAGGCAGAAAATTGGTGCTGATACGCAAACGGGCAACACATTGAAGGCATATTCTTCACCTGAACCAATGCAAAAGCAGCAAAAAGTAGAGGAACCTGAAATTCTGCAACCCAAAATTCCCAAGATTAGTACAGGTGGTGATGCTGCTAACACCATCACCGGTGGTTCTGGTCAAGTGGCAACTTCAATGGTTCCATCAGCCAATGTTGTTGTGACAAGTGGCGATGCTACCAGTGGTTTTGGTCAAGAGGGAACTTCAATGGTTCTACCGGCTAACATTGTTGTGACAAGTGCCGCTGCTGCAATCACCGGTGGTTCTGCTCAAGTGGGAACTTCAATGGTCCCACCAGCCAATGTTGCTGTGACAAGTGGCGCTGCTGTGAACACCATCATCATCAGTGGTTCTGTTCAAAATATGGCACTATGATAAAAGGTTGGTTGTTAGACATCTTTGGTATGTTTCTCATGGATTGTTAGTTGGATTGAATTCAAATTTAGTTTTTCAGTATATATTTTTCTTTCTGATGGGTAAAATTGTAGTTGAATGAGAACATTGTGTTTTTCACCCCCAACCCCAACTCACTTTAACTAAGTAGGGGTTCTCTTTTGGTGGGTCTGTTTGATCGCTTAGAAAACATAGGAAAGAAACAAGAGAAAAGCTTGGGAATAGTGTGACTGCCATGCTTATCTCGAACTCATCAATGGCATCTCTGGCAACCCATCAGGAGATCTTTTGAGGAGCTCATTGGAGTTGGGTTGGGAGAAGGGGGCGTGTGGTGAGAATTATGTTTGGGTGAAAAAATGACCTGAAAGCAAAAGAAAATTTTGGTTTTGTAACAGTTACTATGCTCTGTTTAGCTGCTGAGAAAATCAAGAAGGCAGGGGAAAAAACACAGGAAGTGTTACTACATTGCTTGATAAGTTGAATCTAAAAGAATTTGTATTCTTTGTGATTGGATTCCTAATTGGAGGGTGGTGTTGGTCCATTATGGGATTATTTCGATGATTTGAATTGTTTACTTATAGAGTATGAGCAAATTGTCTATGCTAAAAAGCAAATTGATTGGACAATTATAATTATATGTTCGAATTATATTTATTTTCAACAAAATAAATGGTCAGTATAATTTTGACAATAGAACATATATTTTTTTGAATGTAAATGTAATATCATTAGGTCTCGTTTGTTTTCAGAAGTAATATGGAGATGATTTATAATGAGGGGATTAATAGTGATGGGATTGTTAGTGAGGGGATTGATAGTGAGAAGATTAAGTAAAATTGTGTTTGTTTTGATGATAATTATTAGTGTAGGGATTATTAAATTATTTTTATATAAAATAACTATAAAATAATAAAACAAATAAAAAAATACAAAAGCATTAAACATTAATATCCAAAAAAAAAATATCCAACATGTAAAAAATTAAAAAAATAAAAAAATAAATTTTCAAAAAAAATAAAACAAATAAAATAATGATTTTTACTTAACAAAAAATATAAAAAATTAAACTTCAATGTTAAAAAAAATGCCTAGCATGTAAAAAATGAAAAAATAAAAAGTTTTTAGTCCTTGGAATTATTTTTCTAACACCTCTTCCATCCTAATTTCTCTTTCAAGGCCTATCTTAATATTATAGGATTAGGAGCTTCCTTCTTATCTCTCAAAATAAACATCTCATATAATGAGTTACATCTCACTATCAATCCCAATTTCTTTCCCAAACAAACCGGCGCTCACCTAGTCATAGTTGCCCCATCAATTTTATTTTAGCAATAGATGATTTTTGACAAATGGTTTAAGTCGTTAACGTGGGCCTTGTGATGGGCCCACCATGTCCAAGAGCACCCTCCAAGTAGACAATTTTTAAATTTTATGAAAAAAATTTATATAACAGGTATGTTATGTTGAAGTAGTGTAATCTATTTATTATTTGTTATGTGATACACCTTGAAATCGATGTTTGATGGGATTAAATACTCACCATCTCAAGTCAAGCACAATAATTTTTCAAATTTTACATAATAAAAAAAATAAGTGAAAAAATACGACACCAATTCAATCAGACTTGCCCACCATTTAAAAATGTGTTGTTATTGTCAATGAGAAGTATAAATTTCCAAAATATTTATAATTTTAATATATTTTTTATATATTTCAAATAATTTTTATACATTTCAATACATTTTAACATATTTTTTACAAAAAAATGTTTGAGTTCCTCAATTTTTTTTTTTACAATTCAATCCACAATGATGTAATTTGATAAATGTCAAATTTTTATTGATTACACACTTAATTATATGAAATTTATCACCTTGCCACATCAATATAGATACATTTGTGAATATAAAATGTGAATCTATAACACCAAGTTGTTATGTGATACAACTTGAGATCGATGTTTGATGTGATTAAACACTCACCATCTCAAGTCAAACACAATATTTTTTTCAAATTTTGTATAATAAAAAAATGAGTGAAAAAATACGAGACATCAATTCAATCAGACTTGTCCACTATTTAAAAATGTCTTGTTATTGTTAATGAGAAGTATAAATTTTCAAAATATTTATAATTTTAATATTTTTTTTTATATATTTCAAATTATTTTTATACATTTCAATACATTTTAATATATCTTTTACAAAAAAATGTTTGAGTTCCTCAAAAATCTTTTTCAATTCAATTCATAGTGATGTTATCTGACAAATGTCAATTATTTATTAATTATACACTCAATTATATGAGACTTATTATCTTTATCACAGCAGTATAGATATATTTATGAATGTAAAACGTGAATCTATAACATTTTTCATTTTTTACTTATTTTTTTAACACTTTTCCTATTTAAAATACTTTCACCTCACTAACTGCAACCCTCAGCTTACCACAAACCATAACTAACCCACCTTAAATTCAAAAAATTGGTTGGGTGGTCCAAACCATTTTGTAGATAGTTACCCAATCATCAACCACCCATGATCTGTCCATGTTGATGTGAAGATTATTGTACTTACCACTTTGCATTGTCTTGCCAGAATATTTTGCTTTGGTGTTCCATGATCTATATGATTCTCTCTTACAAACCTACGCTCATGCGCACTTCAAGTCACTTGATTAAGGCCCGTTTGGGATAAAAGTTGTGATTAAAATAGTCCTATTAGATAAAATAAGTTATTTTAATTAAATAAGATAAAATGTTTTACCAATCTATAATCAGTTTATTTTTTCTCTCATAAAAGTTAAAAAAAATTAAAAAATCTATCTCAAATAAGATTTTTTAATCCCAAACTAAAATAATTAAAAAGTCAACTCACATCTTAAACCAACCCTAAGGATTGTAATTAAATCCATTTATTTATAAATTATTTTATTAAAAAATTATTTAAATATTTTTTTCCAAAGATTAGATGCACCAAACTTTGAATGAACATTTCAAAATCAACTAGTTGAGAAATCGTGCTAGAATAGCAACAAGCTTTTGTCTCATTAGGCCCTTAAACAAATTTGGTGTCATACACCACTACTTTTATTCAATTCTTTAACTTTAGGAGTAATGTTATACGTAGATAGTTATAGGGCTGATTACATTAATACGAACTAGTACATATTAACTCCTTTTAAATATAAAAATTATATAAATATACTTCTTTTGAATGTAATTTAAAGGGAGTTTGGAGAGGATGGAAGTAATACATTTTAATAATTGAGAAATCAAATTGTATATATTGAGGGATGAGTAAAGATAAAATAGTATTCACTAATATTTGAGAAATTTTGTTGTAAATAATTCAAAATTATATGTGTTAGTTATTATCTATTCCTATTATATTTAAGACTCTTATATTCTTGTACACCTAGATTTCCTATACACCTAGGTTTCTTGGCCTATATATACAGTCTTCTCCTATTGTAATTGATAGATTGAATATATACAATACATATTATTTTCTCTCTCTCTACTATTCTCATAACATGGTATCAGAGCCTAGGGTTTTTTCCTAGCCTCATTTTCTTCTTTATTACGTTTTTTTTTTATTATTTTTCCTAGTAGATTGCTTCTTTCTATTTTTGCGTATCAAGTCCTTTTCTGTTTCAACAATTAGTCTATACCATCTTCTTTGTCTCTTTAAGACGAAACCAACACCGCCAGACTCATCTTCATCCGACGCTCCACGCGTTGTCACGCGCCTCCTGAAGCTTGGTAACGCGCTGTACCATTTTCCCACGCGCCTCACGCGCCTTCTGCACTTGTCTCGCGCTATCGTGCGTTGCGGCCTCATCTGCTAACGTAAGCCGCTGGTTTCTTGCGCGCCATTGCTACTGTTGCTATCGTGCGCCGCGTGCCTTTCTGCTAACGTGCACCGCGCATGCTGACGTCACCCTCTTGCTGTGACATCCGCCCTACGGTCAACCCACTTTGACTAGCCATTTACTTGCCTTTTCGGGCGTGTTTTTGGCCAATTCAGACCCTATCCCACCTATTTTCGGCCTCCTGAATCTACTGGTGGGTTCCGTTTTGGCAAAATCAGCCTTTACACAGCCCTATCTTCTTTTTTTTGCCCTGTTTGAGCATTATGGATCGTACTGAGCACATCCACTCTGTTTCTGTCATCCTTGATGGGTCTAATTATGTTAGTTGGGCCTAAGCTCTCTCCAGCTTCATCAAAGGGAAACATCTTTGGCGGATTATTACTGGTGCTCTTCCCAAACCCATATAGAAGGAGGATGAGACTGACTCTGCCTTCGATGACCATCTTGATGAATGGGAAAGTAAGAATTATCAAATAATCACCTGGTTTCGAGCTATCTCAGTTCCCTCCATTCATCTCCAATTTGGTCAGTTCCAAGATGATGCTCAAATTACTTCCCCTGCCAAAGCAATTTGGGATTTCTTGAGGAACCGTTATCAGACCACTGGCCATGCTCATCAATATCAACTGTTGCAGACTTTTCATCACATGCGCTAGGCATCCAGTCAGTCTATCAATGACTTATTATCCCAAATGTCGTCTGTTTGGGACCGGCTAGCTCTCTCTGAGCCTCTATGGGCATATTCTGAGAATGCATAGCTATTTATTACTTATCGGAATCATCAACGACTATTATAGTTCCTTATGGCTTTTCATAGCAGTTTTGAGCCTGTACGTGCTTCATTGCTTCATTGTTTGCCCTTGCCCACTTTAGAGCAAGCCATTACTGAACTATTATTAGAGAAGACTCGTTTTGGGACTCTCAAAACTCAGAATATGGATTATGTTCTTGCTACGCCATCATCACAGAGTTCCTTATCTTCACAGCCAGTATTGTCTCAACCGTGGCCTGCCAGCCACTCATTCTTTTGTTCAGCGCTAGGCTCGTGAATGCTTTACTTGCCGTAAGACTGCTCCCGGTCATCTTCAACCCTATTGTCCTTGAACCCCCTCCAAGAAAGGGTTTTCTCGTTCTGGGTATCAGTCCAAATCTGGCCACGGTTCTCGCTCTGCTACTGTTGCCTCTGAGGGTTCTTCTACTCACCACTCCACTGATTCCGCTACTTCTTCATTCTCTATAGATGATGTTGAGTCCCTCATCCAATAGGTCCAAATCTGGTACTCCTCCCTCTACTTCTCTTTCCATGACTTCAGTTAATTCTCTCTAGTATTTTGATTCTGTATGCCATGATCATATGGTTTCTGACTCCACTATGTTTTCTTCTATATCATCATTGTTTTCTGTCCCCATCATACACACTGTTGATGGTTCTCATATGACTATCCGTCACACTGGCCACATTACTACTTCTATTGTGTCTCTTTATGATGCTTATCACATTTATGCTCTTCACTTAAACCTTGTCTCTATTGGTCAGTTATGTGAGCTTGGTCTAACCGTTACCTTTTTTTTCTAATGGTTGTTTGGTGTAGGACCCTCAGACGAAATAGATCCTTGGGATAGGCCGTAAGCATGGACATCTGTTCGAGCTTACCCATGTTCGCATTCCTTACAAATCATCTACTGCTGCTCTCCCCACATCATCTACTATTTCTTCCATTGCTTTCTCTGTTGCATCTACTTCTTCGTTGTCTTCTTCACAGCTTTGGCATTGTCGCCTAAGACATGTCTCTTTTAGTCGTTTGAAAATTTTAGTTTCTAGTGATCAGTTAGGTCTTGTCCGTCTTGAAGATATCGATTGTTTATCTTGTCAAATTGCTAAACAACCTGCTTTATCTTTTAATAATAGTACTTCTATATCTACTGTTCTTTTTGATCTTGTGCATTCCGATATTTGGAGACCTTTCCCCCACACCGACCATGGGGGGTCAAGATATTTTGTGATTTTTGTTGATGATTTTTCTCGTCATACTTGGTTTTTTCTTCTCAAAAATCGATCTGAACTTAAACAGATTTATTATGATTTTTCTGCTATGGTTTGCACTCAGTTTTCTCGTATTATTAAAATATTTCGTTCTGATAATGCTAAAGAGTACTTGGATTCTAAATTTCTATCTTTTCTTCGGGCTAATGGTACCTTATCTTATCGCTCTTGTGCAGGCACGTCCCAACAACATGGACGAGCCGAAAGGAAGCACCGTCATATTCTAAACACTATCCGGGCTCTTCTCATCTCATCTTCTTGTCCTGAACAATTTTGGGGGGAAGCTGCCCTCACTGCCATCCACACCATAAATCGTGTACCTGCACTTATCATAGCTAATATTTCCCCTTATGAGCACTTGTATGGTTCTCCTCCTGACTACACCACTCTTAAAGTCTTTGGTTCTGCTTGTTTTGTTCTACTTCAGTCTCATGAACACACTAAACTAGAACCTCGCTCTCATCTTTGCTATTTTCTGAGGTATGGTATAGAACATAAAGAGTATCGTTGTTGGGATCCTATCTCCAAGTGACTTCGTATTTTCCGTCATGTAGTCTTCTGGGAACACAAAATGTTCTGAAATCCTTCCAAGTTTCACTTACCACAGCCCACACACTCACCGATCTTTACTAATCTCTCTATAGACCTGTTTTCTGATGACTTTGATGTAGATTCTGACTCCATGCTTTCATAACCGCCTAAGCCTATTGTCCATCTTGAGGATCCTGTGTCTGCTGATGACGCTACACCTTCTTATATTGAGGTTCCTTCTCTACCATAGCGTCATTCCACACGGGTAAGGCAACCTTCTATTCTTCTCCGTGATTATATTGTTGGTTCCACTGCCTTTTCCTCTCATGAACCTACTTCCTATCAAGAAGCTTGTTCTAATCCTCTTTGGTAACAAGCTATGACTGATGAACTGCAGCCTTTCGATAAAACTCAGACCTGGGATGTGGTTGCTCTTCCTCTTGGCAAGAATAATTGTAGCGACCCTGACTTTTCATAAGTCTTTATTATTATTATTATTATTATTATTATTATCTTATTTTATTTTTGGCTTTATTAATTGTGTGGTTACATGAGAATTTAATGTGATATTTAATTATATATAATTAATTTGAATGTTTATATATAGTATATATATGTGTTGATCATATATAGTATATTTATATATATTGTATTTGTATAATATAATATTATATAATATATCAATTAGGTTAGAATAGTATTAGGTAATCAGCAAAAAAAAGAAGAAAAGAATAAGAAAAACAGCAGCCGTGAGTGGGAGAGAGAGGCAGAGAGAGAGAGACAGAGAGAGACAGAGATTGATTGAGATCAAGAAAGAGAGCCAAGATAGAGAGAGAGCGGCGGGAGAGAGAAGAGGAAAGGAGAAAAAAATTAGGATTTTGTTTTAGTGGCTTTGTTAATTCTCCAAGTAATTCTTTGATCTTCAAACAAATATTGCGAGTACTAAACTCACTTCCCTTGATTTATATTTATTTTGTTGTTTTTATTTATTTATTTATTTAATGTTGATTTGATATTGTATTTGTATGAAGATGATAGATTGATTTCAATTATTTTGATTAGTTGTATATGCAAGGTTTAAGGGTTTTTTTTATGTATTTATTTTATGGTTGTAATCACACTCATGGTTATATGAAATTGAAATAAACTTAGAATCCATAGATATTACTTAAAATCCATAGATATTGGTTAGATGATGGATTGATTCTTTATTTTTATTTATTTATTTGATGTTGGTTTGATTTTGTATTTGTATGTAGATGATATATTGATTTTAATTATTTTGATTAGTTGTGTATGCCAGGTTTAGGATTTTTATATGTATTTATTTTATGGTTGTAATCACACTCATGAATCTATGAAATTAAAATAAATTTGGAACCCATAGATAAATTCCTTATACTCCACCATGACTTTATGGATTGTTGTTTTATTTGAGTGTTGGTGAGAAAGAGTGAAAAAATAAAAAAAAGTGAGGATTATGAGATTTATTTAAATGCCTTGGGCTTGGCATTGTTATGTTTGTTCTGATGAGTAGATGAAAGATTGTGTATATTTATATTGTTGTCTCGTTCTCATGACTAGACGAGTGCTTTGATTTACGCGCGTACGTATATGCAAACCATCTGGGGAGTGTGGGTCAAACTTGGAACGATATCCCCGTGCAAGCTTGGCTTCGAAGTGGTGTTAGGTATACAGGAGGCACATGGGATATATGTGTAGGCCGGAAGTGAAGGGCCGAAGTAGTGGAGTTAAGGTACAAAGAATTTTGATTATGAGTTTATTAGTATAGTGTGAATTGTATTGAATTGTACATCTTGAAAAATAGTAAACAACCTTGATAAATTATGAAATTTGAGCAGAGACATGTATACGCGATTCTAGACAACTTTTGTGTTTTAACTTTTTATTAAAAAGATCGATTAGAACTTGTAATTGGATGATCTTGGTTACAATAGTTTTTATTCATTTTAGCAGGACGGATTTTAGATACTGTTTTAACCCACGAAACGAGCTCATTTTTATTGTTTCATAAAAACTGAAGTAAAATATTATTCTGCACACTTTTTGTGTTTTGAACTTTTCACAAAAAATCATCTTAGGACAGTTTCTGTTCATTTTTAGCTTTAAATTTTTCGGTGGAATTCCATCTAGGTTCTTCTATCAAGTTTTTCTCTCAACCTGTTCAATTTCTACTAAATTCGTTCGCGTTACCTTTTAGAAAATTTGATTTTGTACAACTTTTGTTCTTTAAGTTTTGGTAATTCAAATTATTTAAGCATGAAACAGTGTATTTTTATACTTCTTCAACAAGTTACTTAGGATTAAATTATACTAACTTTATTTTTTTGCAGAATAGTGGGTCTTACTAACTTTTTATGCAGGACTGACCCACCATATTTTTATTTCTATTTTGTTTATTTTATACTCAGTTTATATTTTGTTGTGTACGGGCAAGAAACTAAATGGCACTGTATCTCAGGAAACTACCCATTCGTCTCGGTGCGGATGGAACTACTTGTCTTGTCCCATAGCAAGAATTAAATGTATTTTTGTTTGTGTTTGGTGGACACGTGGGTGTTAAATCTTGTACTCATACCAGTATACTTGTGTACTGACCTGTTTTGTCTCTTGGCAACTCGGATGCGTTTTGATTGAGCGCAACCGAGCTTCCTTTGCAGGATTAGTTGAGACTACGGTGGTGAAGAGAAACAACTATAATTGTTGGACATGTCGTTTGGACTTCTTTTGTTTTCTTGAGCTTAGGGTTGATATTAGTTTATGTATTTTTTTTTTATTTTATGACCTTAGTATTTTGATAATTTGACATGATTTGTAACTTTACATTATTTAAGTTATTTTGACTATTTATTATTACTTTAATGTTGGAGGTATTGGTTAGTTGTGAAATTATGGTGGATGGTTTGGTTGGGATTTTGTTATTTTTTTTTATCTCTTGTAATCTTTTGAGGATGGAAATTTACTTAAACCCTTAGAGACGTGAACGTTTAGATTTGTTTCATCCTTAGGATTTAGATGATTGAATATTGATTGGGGTTTAGTCCTAATTTAATATTTAATTGTCACAAATTTTGGACCGTGACAGTACTGTTAGTTGTAAATGGGTTTACAAGCTCAAAACTCATTCCGACAGTTCCATTGAGCGTTACAAAGCTCGCCTTGTCACCCCAGGGTTTACTCAAGAGTATGGCATTGACTATGAAGAAACATTTGCTCATGTTGCTCATCTTACTTCCATTCACAGCTTACTTGCAATGGCTGCTGCTCGCCACTGGAGTTTTTGTTAGATGGATGTCAAGAGTGCATTCCTCAATGGTGATCTCACTAAAGAAGTTTATATGCAACCTCCTCCTAGTTTCTCTGTTCCATCAAACAAAGTCTGCAAACTTCGTCATGCTTTGTATGGTTTTAAACAAGCTCCGCGTGCCTAGTTTGCCAAGTTCAGCTCTACCTTTTGTGACTTTGGCTTTTCCTCCAGTGCCCATGATTCTGCCTTGTTTATATGTAAGACGGAGCGTGGTACTATTCTCATTCTCCTCTATGTAGATGATATGATTATCACTGGAGATGACCCCGCGGGTATTTTTAGTCTCCAATAGTTTCTCTGTCGCCAGTTTGAGATGAAAGATTTGGGTTTGGTTAGCTATTTCCTTGGCTTGGAAATTTCTCAAGATTCATCTAGTTACTTTCTTACCCAGGCCAAGTATACTTCTGATCTCTTGGCTCGTGTTGGCCTTACCGATTGCAAAACTGCCACTACTCCTGTTGATCCTCAGACTCGTCTTACACCTCTTGAAGGTTCTCTATTGTCTGATGCCACCAAATATCATCAGCTAGTTGGTAGTCTTGTTTATCTCACGGTTACTCGTCCAGATATTGCCCATGCTGTTCACATTGTCAGTCAATTCATAGCTGCCCCCTATTCTCCACACTATGATGCTCTAATTCGCATTTTGGGCTATCTCAAAGGTACTTTGTTTCATGGTCTTCACTACTCCGCACAGTCTTTTCTACAGCTTCATGCCTTTTCTGATACAGATTGGGCGGGGGATCCTACTGACCGTCGTTCCACTACTGGGTTCTGCTTCTTCTTGGACACCTCTCTTATTGCCTGGCGTAGTAAGAAGCAAACTCTTGTTGCTCGTTCTAGTACCGAGGCTGAGTATCATGCTCTTGCTCACACTACTCAGGAACTTGTGTGGCTTCGTTGGCTTCTTTCTGATTTGGGTGTTTCTCCTTCTTCTGCCATCAATCTTTATTGTGACAACCAGAGTGCTATTCACATTGCACATAATGATGTCTTCCATGATCGCACTAAGCATATTGAGATAGATTGCCACTTCATAGGCCAGCATGTTACTCGAGGCACTGCTCTTCTTCTCTTTCTTACCTTTGATAAGCAAACCGTCGACCTCTTCACCAAAGCTCATCTTCCAAGACGTTTCTCTGACCTTCTCACCAAGCTCAAGTTACTCTGTGCCTTACCACCTTGAGCTTGAGGGGGTGTTAGTTGTCATCTATTCCTATTATACTTAGGACTCTTGTATTCCTGTACACCTAAGTTTCCTATACACTTAGATTTCTTGACCTATATATACAGTCTTCTCCTATTGTAATTAATAGATTAAATATATACAATACATATTATTTTGGGTAAACTACCAATAGGTCTTACTTTTAAGAGTTATTACCCATTAAGTCCTATTGATAAATTTATTAAGTGATAAAGATAAATTTATCAGTCTTTTATTTTTATAAATAAATTTATAGTGATAAATTTATCAATCTCTTTATTTTTATGAATAAATTTATTCATAGTTGTAAGGAAAGCACTATAATTTCACAAATGTCATGTCACATCATTGTTGATAAGTTTTATGTAGTGGGAAATTTGTGAGTAATATATAAATAAATCTCTGTTTTTTTTTATTTTTTATGTTTTATTAGTAAACACTTATACAAAGGTTTACATTAATAAATGGAGTAGCATCATGGCTGTGTGGCCATAAAATATTTAAAAAAAATCATTTGGCATGTAATTTTAAGTAAAATAAAATTAAAAAATGTAACGTTTTAGGAGTCAATGCTTTTCTTTCAATATTAATCATAAGATTTCATAAATAAGAATAGCCAGATCCGTAGAATAAACGTTGCTTGTGGCTAAAGACCAACTCCATAAAAATATAATCCATTGAAAAAATAAAGAAAGTTTTTCACAAATAAAGTTATATTTTTGGGGTTTATTATATTTTCTATTTCTAGTCAAATTATTTATTTAATTCTTGAACTATCGATTGAATTTGTTTAATTTCTAAAGTATATATAAATCAAAGTATATTTAGGCATTGTTTGAGAAGTAATAGTTTTAACTTAAAAGTCAAAAAGTTATTAAAAAAATCAAAAATTCGTTTAGGAAGTGGGTTGGCTTTTCAGCTTTTTATCTATTTTAGCATGGGACTAAAAAGTTTTATTTGGGATGAACTTTTTAGCTTTTTTTCACTTTTGTAAGAGAAATAGTGTAATGATTATAGGTTAAATGTGATATTTTGTCTTATTCAATTAAAAAGCATATTTTATTTTTCTGTGACTATTTTAGCCAAAAAAAACCTCAAACCTAACTTCTTAAACCAAAAAGTCAAATATTTTATTTTCTCTCTATTTTTTGTACATATTTCCGTAAAAAATCAAAAAGTCATTTCAAACATATAAGTTTTTTTTACCTTATATTTTATCTAAAAAGTTAAAAAATTTCTAAAATAACATGTTCCCAAACGAGGCCTTAGTCCCTGAACTATCGATGGTGTCTAATAAGTCCTTAAAGTATATAAATTAAAATCTGTTTAATCCCTAAAAGGATTATATGCTCATACGTATTAAAAATTAGTAAAAAACACTCCCCAATTAAAATTTTATTACAGAAAAATCTTTTAAAGTTTTATTTTGTTTTTAAAAGGTATTTCATTTTGTTGTGTGTTTAAATTAATAAATATTAGACATATTAAAGAAGTAGAATTAGATAATTTAAATAATAACGTTTCTCTACAAATAGTAATAGAACAAAATAATACATTAATTAAGTAATAAAAAGAATTTGGCGAAAAACTTAAAAATAATCAATTAGAAATTATAAACGAAATCTAACATATAATACTAGATAAAAACAAGCACTTATTCATTGTAGAAGATAAATAATAAAATATTGTAGATAATTACCCTTATCTTAATAAAAGAAATTCAATATATAGATTGACGCCCACTTTTCAAAGACAGAATAAAAATTTAGATCTTTTTGAACTAAAATTTTAACTAAACAAGATATTTTATTAATTTATAATATTTATGAGTTTATATTTTATTTTTGTAATCCTTTAAGAGACTAAATAAATTTGAATTAAATACTTTAGGGAAAATTTATTCAATCAATAATTTAGAAACTAAAATAGACTTTGATTTATATATTCTAGAATCTATTAGACACAATTGATAATTCAAAAACTAAATAATTAATTTAACGATAATTTAGAAATATAAAATATAACAAGCTCATATTTTTATAATGAAATGTCATTTTAATACACATTTTATTTTAGAATGCACATTTATTGCTCACGGCACGGCATGTCAACGATATCATCATCTTCTATTAAAGCCAAGGATTTGCATTTTTGTCTCTCTCAACTCACTAAAATTATATTTTAATTTCTAAAATATGTAATAATTTATTTTAAAATTTTATATTTTTTAACTTTTAAAATATATGAACTATGCAACTAATGTACAAATTTACTTAAAAAGTTATACTTTTAATCTGTAAATTTTGTCATTTTAGTTGATAAAATTAGGATATGGACCGTCTCTAATTCAAAATCAGACTGGACAGTCTAGTTTGGCCCGTTAGAATTATTTTTGGATCTCATTTCAATTATTTGAATCATTCACATTTTAGAGTTTATCGATTACATTATTCCTATAAAAAATCAAGTCGGTCGAATAACGAAAATCACTTATTCGAATCAATTTTTATGAACCGTTAATTTTATCAGTAATGATACTACGGGCACCAGACGGAACGGGACGGATCTATCCATGCTTCCCAAGCCGTTACCCAGGGGTTGAACTCACAGTAAAACCTACACAAGAGTTCAGTGGGGAACAAGGAGTCCCCCAGCGAACCCTTCGACGAGCAAGTTAGAGGAGAGTGATTGAATGTCGGGATAAAAAATGGTGATAGAGAACTTAACCTTTTCTTTGTCGTAGGAGCCTGCTTATATCCTTTGCTCATCATTTCCTTGTCCACTCCGGGCTGTCATGTTGACCGAAAATCTATGTTCTAACTTGCCTTGTTCATGGTGAGGTTGTTCTGTTCCGACGTAAAGGGTTATCATAATAAATGCTGCAGGGAAGCTCATTAATGGCTGATGTGTGGTGCAATAACTCTACAGAATCTTTGTCTGCTGATGTGGCTGGCTTTTTACTTTACCAAGTGTTTAGATGTCATTGGTGCTTGGTGTAACGTTAGGTTTTGGGAATGTTGGGCTTTGTTATTTGAATCATGGATTAGGCCTTAAGTGGTAAGCTATATCCTTTATTGGCTTACCCATGTCAGTAGTCCCCCATTTTCACGTGCCGCTTTAGTCCAACGAAGGAAATAAGGAAGAAAACAAGGGTTGTGAGATATCGACGGAGAGAGGACCGATCGGGAGGTGGGCCGACCATGAGGGGTGGCCGAGCGGAGAGACCGACCGTGAAGAGGGCCGACCCTGAAGGGTGGCCAAGTGGACGGATCGATCGTGAGGAGGGCCGACCGCGAAGGGTGGCCGAGTGGACGGACCGATCGTGAGGAGGGCCGACCGCGAAGGGTGACCCAGTGGACGGATCGATTGTGAGGAGGGCCGACCGCGAAGGGTGGCCGAGTGGACGGACCGATCGTGAGGAGGGCCGACCGCGAAGGGTGACCCAGTGAACGGATCAATCGGGAGGAGGGCCGACCGTGAAGGGTGACCTAGTGGATGGACCGATCGTGAGGAGGGCCGACCGCGAAGGGTGACCCAACGGAGGGACCGACTAGGAGGAAGGCCGACCGCGAAGGGTGACCCAGTGGACGGATCGACCGTGAGGAGGGCCGACCGTGAAGGGTGACCTAGTGGAGGGACCGCCCGGGAAGAGGGCCGACCACGAAAGGTGGCCGAGTGGAAAGAGGAAGTGGCGGTGCGCGGGGCTCGAGGAGCGGCGGGACACGTGGTGAAGTGAAGTGGAATAGACAGGGAAGGGGAAGTGAGTAGTGGATCGTGGTCGTACACGTGGCAGAATCCGTGAAGGGGGAGGTGACGCTTTAGGAAGAAGTGAAGGGACAGGGTGATATATAGGGCAATGAAAAGGCAGGGGCGGGAGTTGTTCGAAATTTTTCAAACTGACGAAATTTGACCTTGACCCTTGGAAAATAGGCAAACCGTAGGCGTTTGGGGTTGTCCGCTTTACCTATCTTTTTGCAAAAAACAAACACGTCCTGGAAGTAAACTCATTCGTTTCCAGTGATAAACCTCTGCAACATTTTGTGAACTTTCTTGTGCCCGCGTCCGAAGCAATTCGCAGACACGCAAGAGAAATGGCCCAAGAGGAAGTGCCAGCCGCAAGGCTTGATTCATTAGGCGACGACGATGTGGTGGAGTTGGCGGAACAATACCATGTGGAGTGAAGGGAGGGGAGGGTAGTTAGCCAAGCGGTGCGGGCTCGCCCTATAGCAATGATCGCCACCGTGAGGCCCATTAGTCAAGCAGAGCTCGACCATTGGCACACCAAACCAGACAGCTGACAGCGGAGGAGTTGGAGAAAATAATGAGGAAGTACCAAATTCCCTTAGAAATAGGATTGAGGCTACCCACATCCAAAAAGAGGGCGTTGGACGTGCGACCGGACGAATTCTGCCTCTACGACACCAAGCCAGACAACTGACAGCGAAGGAGTTGGAGGAAATAAGGAGGAAGTGCCAAATTCCCTCGAAAATAGGATTGAGGCTACCCGCATCCAAAGAGAGGGCGTTGGACGTGCGACCGGATGAATTCAGCCTCTACGAGGAAGTGCTGCGAGGGGGTTTGAGGCTACCTCTCCCTCAAATAGTGATGGACGTGCTAAACAAGTTAGAAGTGGCGCCAGGGCTGCTGATGCCGAATGCCTGGAAGATAGTAGTAGCCTACGCGAGTGCCTGGCAGCAGGTGACCAGAGGGACGGCAATAACAGTGGAGGAGTTCTTCTCCTGTTACAAGGCCTTCGGTCAGCAGGAGACTTGGGTGACTCTGCAGGCAGTGGCGGGCCGAGGTCTAGTGGCGGGCCTGCCATCTTCAGTGAAGGGGTGGAGGCCAAGATGGTTCTTCATGTCGACAAATGGTGGGGAAGGAGTTCACACAACGTGAAAGGTCCCCACGAAATCGGTGGAGCCACATAGAAACCGAAGACCGAGTAAAGAAGGTAAAGGAGTGGAGGGAAGGGAAAGGAGTGAGGTGGGACGAACTGGTCTTGCCTTCAACATTGCTTGCCCTGAACTTGGGACCGCAACCGTTGGAAGAGGATCTGATGATGGAGGAAATGGAGGTGCGGAGGAAGGCGGAGGAGGAGGAGGAGAGGAGGTTGTTTGCCAGGGCAGAAAAATACAAAGAGGCGCAATTGGGGCCAGCCTCGAAGCTGGTGATAAGGGAGTGGATCCGACCGCGTCCCAAGCCGGTGGGCGATAAAGACCTAACTGGCTTCGCCCCTCTGCCGCCCCCAGTAGACCCACTGAAGGTGAGGGGCAAGCAGGAAGTAGAGGCGGTTGTGAAGAAGCCAAGGAAAAAGAATGGGGGTGTAAAGGAGGGAAAAACGCCCCTATTTTGGAAAAAATGAAGGCTGGAGAGCAGGCTGCCCCTGTTGGGAAGGAGTTGAAGGAAAGAAAGGCGAAGGAGGCTCCACAAAAGGAGAAGTTGAAGGAGGGGGAAATGAAGGAGGGCGCAGGAGAAAAGACTACCCAAGTGGCTAAGGAAGACCTGGGCCTAAGTGCCCCCATGGTGTCAATGGTGGCACCTGTACCAGAAGTAATCTCAAGCCCTAGCGAGGGAGAAAGCGAGGATCAGCAAGCCAGTGACAAGTGGGGCGCTGGCAACCGCCTTGTACCATGCGTGCGCACTGGCAGGTCGCTCGGAGAGTGATTGAATGTCGGGATCAAAAATGGTGATAGAGAACTTAACCTTTTCTTTATCTTAGGAGCCTGCTTATATCCTTTGCTCATCATTTCCTTGTCCTCTCCGGGCTGTCATGTTGGCCGAAAGTCTATGTTCTAGCTTGCCTTGTTCATGGTGAGGCTGTTATGTTCCGACGTGAAGGGTTATCATAATAAATGCTGCAGGAAAGCTCATTAATGGCTGATGTGTGGTGCAATAACTCTGCAGGATCTTTGTCTACTGATATGGTTGGCTCTTTACTTTGCCAATTGTTCAGATGTCATTGGTGCTTGGTGTAATGTTAGGTTTTGGAAATGTTGGGCTTTGTTATTTGAATCATGGATTGGGCCTTAAGTGGTGGGCCATATCCTTTATGGGCTTACCCATGTCAATCACCGTTCATTTTTTTATACAAAACTGATTCGAACATGTGATTGTCATTATCCGATTAACTTGATTTTTTGTAGAGATGATGTACTTGACAAATCTTAAAATATGAACAGTTCAGATTATTAAATTGGGATTCGAAAGTAGACCCAATGGGCCGGATAACATCTCTCCAATCCAATTTCGGACTGAAAAGAAGCCAATCCTTAAAATTACTTATTTATTTTTTATTTAAGAGTGCCGAATGACAGAGTTAAGTTGAAAGGCCAAATTAAAATAGGGTAAATTACCAACAAGTTCTCTTTAGAAGTGGTGTGCCCTATTTAGTTCCATAATTTTTAATTTATACCCAAAAGTCCTGTAACGTTTTTCTTCTTCTCTACCTCTTTCTTTTCCTGATTTTTTGCAATCAGCGACCGGCGACCACATCTTGTTTCTTCTCTTTCTCTTTCTGATATATAGTTATCCGCGAATGACAACCACCATTTATTGGGATTCACCGACAACCACTGACCACTGATTCCTTACTTCACCCTCACCGACGATGAAGAAGATATATTTCCGACGAAGAAGATGAGTAAATCTACTCAAATCTGATGTAGATCCGACTAGATCTAAACAAAAAAATAATTGTCGGAGTACAGTCATCTCTCTATATTTGTCTCTCTCTTTCGATCTCTCATTTTTTTTACCTTTTCTCTGTTATATACTTTTTCTTTTTTTTCTATTTTGATGGAAAAAAAATTTAAGCTCTGAACAAGTTATTTTTGAGTTTTAGTTATAGGCGGTGAAAACTATAAAATTTTGCAATTTCAATTTTTTTGGTACCGAAATGAATCATGGTTTAAACTTGTAAAATTTTGTAGTTTCATAACATTATTTGGAACTGTAAAATTTTGCAGTTTCACAATATGTTTTTCTGTTTGATTAATAAAGACAAATGTTTAATAGATTTTTGCTCTAAAACTGTAAAATTTTATAGTTTCAAAACTTACTTTTTAGTTTGATCAATATTGGAGATTATTTACTTAAACCCTACAAAAATTGAAAAATAACATATGTTTTTTTTTTCTTCTCATTGTTGCTGTTTTTTATTGTTACGTTTTTTTCCTTTTAGTTTATCAATATTTTGTACATTTTGCTATATTTTTTCTCTCTAATTTCTCCATTTATTCTTTTTTTTATTTTTCGGTAATATTTTAGACATTCCAGTAAGTCTTCAACGATATTTTTAACGTCCAGTGAACATTTTGGACATTCCGGCTGTTATGCTAATGTCGATCGATAGTGGTCGTTATGTATACGTCGACTCGTTGTGGTTGTTATGTCTAAGTTGATCATTGTGATCGTTATGTCTTTGTCGATCCGTTGCGATCATTATGTATATGTCAATCCATAGTAGTTGTTATGCCTATGTCCCCGGTCCTTTGTGGTTGTTTTGCTATTATTCTGTTTAGTATTATTGTACCCCGGAATGTAAGTAACTTTGAACGATTGATGAACTTTATGAATTCTATATGTTTATACATGATAAATGCTTCGTTTCGGAGCAAACATTTTGTATGGAATTTTGTGAAAGGTTTAATAAAACTTTTGGAAATGTACTGCATGATGTCTTAAACTATGAAAGGATTAAAGGTTTAAGGAACTTTATTTCTGATTACAAGTATCCAGAAAATATTTTGATCATGTTAAGAACATTGTTTTGATTTTATAAGTTATGGACCTCATTCATTTAACCTTTTTACACTGATGTTATTAATTGGGCTCTAAATCATTGTTTTATATATGTATGTAGGTGATCAAATGCAAGAACGGACTTAGTGGCGTCAACCTAAACTCTCTTTTGTCAGGCCAAATGTCGTGTCTCACCGCGAGGTTCTAAACTGTCAAGCGTCAAAGCTTTTTGGGTGGTTCAAAGTTCAACCTTTTAAAATTGTGATTAAGTGTAAAGTTTAGTCTTAAAATTTTTGTTATAACTGGTTTTATTTTGTTAATGGGAATTAATCCCTAAGTCATGTTTATGTTTTGTGTACCTAAGCTTGACATGGACTTATGTATATATGTTTATATACTGGTTTGTTTTATTCCATTTAAGTTTGCATAGCTTATTGGACGTTATATTTTATTAATTATTGGCTTTTGGAGCCTCTATCATTGTATTACTGTTAAGCAGGTCTTTGGTAATTTCAGATTACTGGCCGGTCATGATACTAAACCTATAAGGGAGGGTTTGGCTCGTGACACCGGAGACTTTCAATGAAGTTCAGAACACTGACAAACTTTTGGCAATACTTCGGCGACTTCCTAGTGATGTTGAACATTCCGGCGAGTCTCCGGTGACTGTTTGACGAAAGTTCGATGGTGATGGGATGTAACAACGTCTGTAAGTAAAAAAAAAAAAAAAAGATTTTTTTCATAACAATTAAAAATATGTAGCACTAATTGGTGAAAATATTTTGTTATGGGACTAAATAAGTTTTAAATTTTGTGTATGAGACTTACAAGTAAGTTTTTCATTGAAATATTTTTATATATTTGATACAATTCAAATATAGAATAAATCCTAAACAGTAATATTATAAACTGTTTGGTCTTCCATTTTTCTTATAGATCTAAAAATCTCATTCTAGTGTGAATTACATAAATGGCCAAAATGTGGATTTTCTCATAATGTTGAAATTACTAAATGCAATACTTCAAGAAAATTCCCTAGTGTACTTTTTTCGAACATAACATCTAATGTAACACACTAAAAAATTCTTTAGTGTACTTTTTTTAAATGTAACACTCTAATCAATGTAACACACACAAACTTATTATCCAAACGTAACGTTCCAATATAACACACTAAAAAATTCCTTAATGTATTTTTTCCAAACATAACACTCCAATCAATGTAACACAAAAAAATTACTTAATATATTTTTTTTTAAACATAATAATGTAACATTCTAAAAAAATTTCTTAGTATATTTTTTCCAAATGTAACATTTTAATTAATGTAACACATAAAACTCTTTAGTATATTTTTCTCAAACGTAATACTCTAAGGTAACACATTAAAAAATTTGTTAGTGTACTGTTTCCAGATGTAACAGCCTAACATTCTAAAAAAACTCTTTTGTGTAATTTTTTTTTTCAAACGTAGCACTCCAATTGATTTAGCACACAAAAATTCTTTGATGTATTTTTTCTAATGTAACAAAGACATTCACTTAAAGTCAAATAGTACCAAATTAAATAAATATAACTTTTCAAAATTAAAAAAAAAACACTAATTAATTTATAAGAGAACACTTAGACTAAATAGGTCAATATTTTTTTATATGAGACTTATAAATAAATTTTCCTCCAAATATTAACAATAAAAATAACACAATCATTATTTTAGGAATAAAAATGCAATTAACCTCAAAACAAAAGTGAAAGAAATGTCATTTTAATGCAAATTCTATTCCTAAAATGCATATATCATTGTTAACGGCACGGCACACAGTCATCTTCCATCAAAGCGAAACCCCTCTCTCTCTCTCTCTCTCTCTCTCTCTCTCTTCATCACTGCACACTGCACCTCTCTGCTCCCACATGCGACAACCCACCACCATACAAGCAATCACAGTCACAGACCCCTCTCTCTCTCTCTCTCCCCACTAAGAAAATTCATCGTCGTTTTGCGGTAATTGATGGCCAAAACAGCACAATGATGGATTCATCAGAGACACCTCATTGCACTGACATTACCAGTAACTGAGAGAGAGACCTCTTCATTTTCTTCACCTCTCTTCTTCTTCTTCTTCTTCTTCTTCTTCTTCATCAATGAAGATCTCTTCCAAGTCAATCCTCAGCCCATGCAGAGGCAGAAACACACCCATCTGTCTCTCCACCTCTCTCAGCCGCAGACTCAGAACCAACACAAGCCTCAAAGGGGGCCAATCTCCGATGTTCCCCACCTCCGGCAAGAAGCGAGGCTGCGCATTGGAAAACCCAGGCGAGCCTTCGTCTCCCAAGGTGACCTGCATTGGGCAAGTTCGTGTGAAGACGAAGAAGAAACAAGGGAAGCGAATGAGAGGAGGTGAAGTGGGTGTGGGTTTTGGAAGAGTTGAGCAGAGTCGTGAAGGGTTCAACAACAACAACCACCCAAATCAGATTCAGAATCAGGAGTGCTTGAAACACAGAAATCAGAGGTGGGTTCATCTTCCATTGTCGATTTGTGAAGCTTTGAGAGGATTTGGGTCTGAATTCAGCTGTTTGTTTCAATGCGGAAGAGAAAAGGAAGAAAAAACAGAGGCAGGAGAGAGGAGTCTGAGAAGACATGTGGATTTGGGGGAGAAGATAGAGATCGAAGAAGAGAAATGGGAAGTGAATGATTGTATTGTTGAGGAAGAGGAAGAGGAAGAGGAATCGAGAGTGAGCATTTGTATTCCTCCCAAGAATGCTCTGTTGTTGATGAGATGTAGATCTGATCCGATGAGAATGTCAGCTCTCACCAATCGTTTATGGGAATTACAATCTGCTCCTGAAGGTGAAGAAGAAGACAATGATGATCATGAACAGATTGAAATGTCTGAGAATTTGACTTCAATTACAGCTAATGAAGAAGAAGAAGAAGATGCAGATGAAGATTTAGTTATGGAGGTACAAGAAGGTGAAGAGAAAGAAAACCCAGAAGATAAATTAGAGATTATCCAAGAAGAAGATGATAATGAAGAAGAAGAAAAGCAACAAGTGAGTTCTTTATCTGAAGCATTTGCAGATCCTGAGAAATTGGAAAATGAAGAAGAAGAAAAAGAAGATGCTTCAAATTTGATTCAAGAAAGAGAAAGCCATCACTCTTCAAGTACAGAAGATGAAACAGAGGAGAAAGAGACCCAAGAGAGATTGGAGTCAGAGGAGAGAGAAAGAGAAAGCCATGAGAATCTAGAGAGCGAAAATAAGGAGGAGGAGAGAGAGAGGAGATCAGTGTTGCCGGACTGTTTGCTTCTGATGATGAGAGAGCCAAAGCTATCAATGGAGGTTTCGAAGGAGACATGGGTGTGTAGTACGGACTTCATCAGATGGCTACCAGAGAGGCCAGTCAACACAAAGGACGGCTCTGATGATCCCAAAAAAAGGATCAGCATTGACTCTAATAATCCTGCGCCGCCGCGGTCCTCCTGCTCTTTTCCGGCGCCGGCGTCTATGTCTATGGCGGCAATGATTGAGCATAAGCTAGCGTGCGAGCCGCTTGTACTGAAGCGCTGCAAGTCGGAACCGAGGAGGTCGGCGGCGGCTAAGCTCGCTCCGGAGACATGTTTCTGGAAGAATAGGAACCTTGAGCCGCATCGGAGAGCCACGTTCGGTGTCGGCGCGGCTGGGGTTGGGTTTTGAGTGGAGCTGATAGAAGGGGAATTGACTGGGTGTGGGCGGTCGTATGGGAAAACTGTAGTATTGTAGTGCTTTTTCTTCTATGGCATGTTTGTAATTATATTTTGAATAAATCTTCATCTACAAACACTTTCTTACTACACACTGGTCATGGTCGATTCCGGGGGCACAATTAACATTTTTCATTTATGGTTGAAACTCACCGTATTAGATTTTGCTCGTGACTCTATCTTTTGTGTCGGGAATTTGTGTATTTCTCTCTTGGTGGTGAGTCTCTCCTTATTAATTGACGTAAATCTAGCCAAAACACTGAGAATTTAAGGATTGCAATGTTAACACCAAAGAACGTCTTTTTTTCTACTTCAAAAAAAAAAAAAAAAATTTACTAAAAACTCTTACTAAGTTCATCTCTAACGTTGTATCAGATGTTTTTATCAAATTTAAATTTGATAAAAACGATACTCCAATTATTTTATCATATTGATATCAAATGAGGAGAGTGATACTTTTTTCATCAAATGAAGGGAACGTTTATCCTTTCATCAAATTTTACAAATGATAGTTGGTGGACGACCGAGTGAATAACTTCCTGCACAATCGATTTTGGATGAATTTGATAAAAATTTATTTTAGACCGAACAACTGGACAACCAGCCAGTTTGATAAAATTATTGGAGTGCATTATATTATATCAAACTTTTTATTAAAATTTTACTCAAATTTAATGAAAAATTTAATCAAGTATTGGGAATGCTCTCAGGCTTGATTTAGGAAGTGGGTTGACTTTTTGACTTTTTTGGCTATTTTAGCCTGGACTAAAAAGCTTGGTTTGGGAAGGATTTTTTGACTTTTTGACTTTTTTGACTTTTTTTGTGAGAGAAGAGTGTAACGATTATGAGTTGGATGTGATATTTTATTTGTTATGACTAAAATAGCTTATTTTATTTTTTGTGACTAAAATAACCCCAAACGTATCCAAACCTATCCAAACCCACTTGCCAAACCATGCCGAAATGTATGAAAATAGTTCAAATATTAATGTTATAAATTCATTTTTTTGAATAATGAATCATGCTTGGTACGTAATTTTACAATGTGTTTCATTTTGATATTTTAATTTGTTAATTAGGTTTTTTACATAAATTATTTATAAAAAAAATTAAATTAATATAATAATTATAACTTTATGATTTTAGGGAAATTGACCAGTAAATCCCATTTTGTGAACTTGTAATCCATGAGATCCTAAATGTTTTCTTGGTGACTGAATGGTCCCTTAATTTGTTTGTTGACTATTTTGCCACTACTAGTATTATTGGTTGATTGGCGTGGGTTGTATAGAGAAGGTGAATGAGTGTTTGTGTGTCACGTTGATCGGAAAAGTACACTAATACCTTTTTCTAATTTAGTAGGTTTGTAACACGCGTAGAAGTGAAACGTGGTAACGTCATAGTGTTGTTTCGTACGTGACATGAATACGCAAAATAAAACACACTGAAATGGTTTCGAATTTCTATTCAAGTTCGCATTTCTAAATCATGAGATGAAATTCAATTCCCAGATCTGGCGATGCCGACGTGGTACACCAAAATCAAAGTTCATACAATCTGTGAAAAATCCAAATCAGACGATGCCAATGTGTTTCGCATTTCTGAAGTTCGCATTTCTACGGCATCGTCTGTTCACATATTCAAAATATAGTCTGTTCATACAATATGCGAACTCATGATTTCAGATTTTGTAAAAAGTTCGCATTTTTAGATTTAAAGTTCACAGATTTGTATTTTTAGAACTTGAATATGTAAAAAATCCAAATCAGACAATGCCGACGTGGTACACCAAAATTGACGACATAATTTCAGAAACCAAAGTTCGCATTTGTAGAAATGCAATTCCCAGATTTGACGATGCCGACGTAGTACACCGGCCTGCCGGATTGACACGGATCCCTCTGTTGTGGTACACCGGCCTGAAAACGGATCCCTCTGTTCTAAAACACACTGAAAAATGGATCCCTCTGTTGTGGTACACCAGCCTGAGAAACAGATCCCTCTGGTCTAAAACACACTGAAAAACGGATCCCTCTGTTGTGGTACACCGGCTTGCCGGATTGAAAATCCTAACCCAAGCCCAACCGCGATCATCAAAAAAAGCTCAACAATCACAATCATCATCAACCCTAACCAAACCATGTCTCTGACCATGAAAACCCTAACCCAAGCCCTAGCGAAGACCGCCGCGGTCATCGAAAAAACCGTACAGACCACGGTCCAAGAAGTCACCGAACCCAAACCCCTCAAAGACTACGACCTCCTTGACCAGATCGGCTCCGCCGGTCCAGGCCTCATCTGGAAACTCTACTCCGCCAAAGCTCGCTCTGGATCGGCTCTCTCCCACCAGTACCCCACCATCTGCGTCTAGCTCCTTGACAAGCGGTCTCTCTCCGAGGCTTGCGTGCGAGCCGGCTTGCTAACGGACCATTTGCGACGGCGTTTTGCCGTCGCAAAAAACACGTTTTCCTGTAGTGTATGGAAATAGTTCAAATATTAATGTTATAAATTCATTTTTTTGAATAATCAATCATGTTTGGTATTAAGTCCAAGCGACAATGCTACGTAGCTCAAAAGTGGCTCAAACGGCCAAAACGACGTCGTTTTGAGTACAGAACAACATAAAAATGGCTAAAATGACATCGTTTTGGCCATTTGAGCCACTTTTGAACCACAAAATTTGAGTTACGAGATATTTTCCTAAGTCCAAGTACGTAATTTTACAATGTGTTTCAGTTTGATATTTTAATTTGTTAATTGTTTAGGTTTTTGTACGTAAATTATTTATAAAAAAAATTAAATTAATATAATAACTATAATTGTATGATTTTAATACATTTATCTTTAAAAATTAAATAAATTATTTTAAAATTATATTTATCTTTCATATGAAATCGCGTGACTATTGTGGTGAGACGTTTAATTGCCCCCTCTTTCCCAAATGACAAACTGCGGCCTTGGTAAATATTTTAGGGAGTGGTTTTGGTCCAGTCCAATCTTGGACTAGACTCTGCTGTAGAGCTTGTAAGGGCTTACTGCTTGTAAAAAGTTATGTTGGTCGGATATCGATAACTATATGAACAAAACAGTTTTTTATCAACTGTTAATTGTTTTACCATCTATTTTTTTTATACAAAATAGATTTGATCGCAGAGCTATTGATATCCGATCAACGTGATTTTTTACAGGCATATAGTACTCGACGAGTTCTACACATTGAACGGTTCGGATTATCAAAACAGGCCCAAAAAATAAATCCCATAGACCGAATTGGACGGCTCCAGTCTTGATCTCAACTTGAGATAAGCTGGACCCAATACTTTACACAAGAATCAAATCACAAGAGTGCCCAATTCAGTGTTTGTTGGGTAAGCACTTCACGGTAAAATTAGTTCTCAAATTTGGAATTTTTTAAGGTCTAGTTTGGCATAATTTAAAAAATTAAAAAAGTCATTATTTTATTTGTGTCATATCATCTTATTTAAATTACATCATCTCTTTATTACATCACTTCAAATCTAATCTTTATTTCACATTTTTTTTTTATAAAAAATAAAAAAAATATATTTATTTAGATCATTCAAAACAACTGATAACATACTTGTTGTAGACGCTCTTTCTCCTTCTCTATTAATAACATACTTGTTGTAGACGCTCTTTCTCCTTCTCTATTATTTGTTGCCTTAATCATAACGTACTTGTTGCCTTAATCACCTTTTCTCTCTTATTGACTGAGGGTTCTTCTTTGATTGATTCTCAGATACGACTGGTCTCCGTCGTCAAATTTGTGTCAGATGATCTGTCGTCCAATAAAAGTCATCCACGAGAGCTATGAACACCTGGGATAATTCTCCCAGGCAACATGAAATCGTATGAATCCAAGCATGCACTCACTATGATATGTAACATGATGTTTCTTCCTCAGGACTATCTTAGACTAGACTTGATGTGGTTGTATCCTAACCACCCCACACCACCCCCATCCAACCTTATCCTACCCTATAATCAATCTGACATATTTTTTTGGCAAATGAAGAAAAAAAAAAAATCTTAAAACATAAATCAATTAAATTATTAAAATGAGATCTATAATGAACTCACGAAATTGAACTGTATCCTTCAACAAGTTGAATCCTTAGTAAGAGTGTTGGTGGACTTTCACTTTGAAATTTTTTAAAAATCTTGAAATATTAATTTGTAATTATATTTTAATTTTAAACAGTGAATATCAATTCTAATCAAATAATCAATAACAAATCGGCATAATGATTTAATATAAAAAATAAAAAAAAAACATAATTAGAGTACCTCCAATTGTGATAAAAAAATCACGAGTCAAAATTACGAAATAATCTACTAAGAAGATAAAAATAAATTATATATGAGTACCCTTAATTACTTAGAGAATCTACAACCGAATTGAACCAAACACGATGTGCCTCTTCCAACACCATCTTCACTTCAGAATTGCTTTTGTTAATCCACAATGCCGATGTCGAATTCACGACGATAAGCCACTTTAGAATCTACCAAAGTTTCAATCTCAAGTTTCTCGGAATCCACCAAAGAACACTGTAACAGCGCCCGCGTGGGGCCTCGCGCTACAGTTCGGACTCTCGATTTGTGTCACGGTTCTAAATCTGAACCAAAGAGTCCAAATCTGGCAAATCGTTTTGAGAAACAGATTTTTGAAAAAGTAGTGCCAAACATGGACTGCTTTGCCAGATACAGAGTCGCCACCTAAATATTTTAAAATGATTGTAGGTCAAAAGCAGGCCTAAAGGTCGCAAAACGGGTTCTTATTTCGGTCACAGCATGATATTTGGATAAAAAATCGTGTTTTGGACTTGTTCTAAACCCAGTCAGTCTGTTTTTAGGTGAGCATGTGGTTTTGGGTTTTTGGTATTTGTTCAAACTCCATAAACGCACATATATGGTGTTAAGAGTGATGGCCTTTAGAAAAATAAGCAAAAAAAAAGAGGCATCAGTAAAAAAGAGAAAGAGATATGATTGCCTTATGGATTTAGAGCGTAAAAGCAAAGCCCAATCAACAAGAACACCAGCAGGAGGGGAAGCGAAGTAGAGGAGGTGCAAATTTGAAGCTTAGAATGCAAAAGGTTAAAGACGAACAGTAAGAATGTTTGGTTCGAGAAATGGGATTTGTA